GAAGAAAAATGGACCAATAATTCGATTGCACATAATCCCACGCCAGACATTCACTTTGGGACTATCTCGCTGAACTTCTCTAGTCACGTGGGGGTGTTCTGATCCCCAGATTCTCACATTGTGTTTGTTCAGTTCCTCTGAAACATGAAAGGTTGCCTCATCACTAAAACAAACTTGCCTGAGGAATGTTTCATCTTCAGAAATTAGTTTCTGAAACACAAAAATGCAATTTGATTAAAAACTTTGAAAACCACTGAGTACAATAGAACAAGTCTGATTAAGATATTTTATCAATTGCCTTTGTAATAAATTTTTTAAATTGTAAAAAGACTTTATAGACACCCTGTATATATATATTTTCTTACAATTTTGTGTTTTTATAAATTTTTGGTAAATGTTCTATTGGTGATCCACCTTTAGTAAATTCCAAATATATAGCTATAAATATGTTTTTTGTCACTGTATACAAAACATAGCTTGGAGTTATCATTTTAGTGAAATAAATTCAGATAATAACCTTTGTGTATACCTTCTAACAACAGAGATGTAATGTTATTGTAGATTGAATTTTCGTGTAATTATATAGGTATTTAAGATTAAATTTTAATTCATATTTAATTAGAAATCATTTTTCCAGAAAAGGTTAAAACAAGCTCTTTCAGAAGACAACTATCCACTCCAATGTCAGTTTCCCAATGTTATAAAAAACATAACCAGTAGAAACTGAAAATTTTCTTCAAATGTTTATTAGCCTTCTTGTTGCCATCAAGTAGTATAATCGTCCAACTTTGGAATTTCTCTATAGGTGACATTTAATTTTCAGTACTTAAAATTACTTGAAAATCCTAAGGACAGAAAAAACAAAGGACTTTATCTACCAATGTTTTGTAGATATACAAGTAAAATCTATCCAGATAAATACAAAGTTGAACATGTTTTCTGAACTTTTTTAAACTGCTTGTATATTTTGTGTTTAGAAGGTGCTTCTTTGTTCAAATTACAGCCATTTCTCATTATTTATTTCCCCATTGTTAATCGTTTCATTAATTCCTCATTTGAAAATAAATTAACTCTAGCAATCGATGTGTTTGAAGGAAAACGAAGTTTGATTATAAACAAGATTATGACACTTATGATATACAACAAAAAGGGGACATGGATAAACGTTTCGGAATTCTATCAGATTCCATCTTCAGTATCTAAAGCAGAATAAAATGAATTTACATCAGTCTTTCTACATTTTCAAAGTACAGTTCCTAAATATAACGATAATTAAACAAATAAAACACTAAACAGTAATCATGGGGAGAAACAACAGCAAGAAAACACAACAAAAAGGAAAAAAAAACGAAAAATCAGTAATACGAACATATTAAAAAATTTATAATTTGAATGAAGACTGCATGTTGTTCAGAGTTGGAGAGTGCTGTTTGATGTGGATGGTTTTTTTATCAAT